GCATGCCAGTAGATTTTGGATGATTCGATCCATGCTGAATTACAAGCATGAATATAAATAGCATGTGGAACAGGTTGTACATTGTGTATTTAATGGGCAAGGTAATATTCACCCTGAACATTTAAATATTTTGTGCTATACAAGTGATTTTAATTTATTGTATTTAAAATTATAGTTTGAAGTTTGATTTTGTGCACTGTACCATAGCCATTCACAAATATGAAATCTCAAGATTTTGGCATTTTAATATATTAACAGCAAAAACCATGTTATTTCAAATTTATATCTAGTCATATACTTTTTAATGGTTTTTCTTTGATATCTTTTCAAAATGAATTTTTTACATATTTTTTTTGTAGTGTTCTGATGGGATATCTGGTGATGGTTCTTGCATCTGTGAACCACATTTTATGGGGGCTTCGTGTGAAATCTGCTCACATGATAATAAGTTTGGTGCCAATTGCAATGAAGGTTTGGATAATTAATTTTCATGAATCATGTGAATTGTTTAATTTATGTTGATTTTTTTGTTTAATATTAAAATTGTTTATCCATAAACAGCTAACAATCTGTCTTGGGGCACCCAGTAACATTTTGACAAAGATTGAATAAGGAGAATTCATGATTCTATGCAAAGGTTTCAAAACCATGTATTGTCTATCTTGTATTTATGTATTTACAATAATTAAACAACCAAGTATTCAAGGTTTCTTTATTCTGATGTGTATAGTCATTGTTATTTAGATAATATTTTGAGTCTGAATTATTGTTTTATACTAATTACCAATTGCTTGTTGCAAGTTTTTAGTTTATTTTAATAAATAGTATAATAACCATTGCATTATATTAATTTAAGATTGTTCTTGTCTGCATGGAGTATGTGACAATGGAGTGAGTGGAAGTGGACATTGTAAGGACAGTTGTTATGAAGGTTATCAGGGGATTGACTGTCAGTACCAAGTACAGCCATGTGGAGAGTATACTGCACAAGTGTACTGCCACGCACATGCTCAGTGCGAGCAAGAAGCTGGCATAATCAGGTGATGCTACCTGTTCTTACTCTATATACTCTACACCTTAAATCTAAAATAAGATTTTTCCAAGTACTATAGTATTTTGCCATTGTAGCTTCATAATCATGGTATTATCATGGAGGAAGAATGGTATTATGCCTTATAATTCTACAGGATAATTTATTTATTTATTTATTCACCATATGTTGAGTATGTGACCCTTACAGAGCATGTCTGATGTTCAGGGCCCCACTTACATACAAAAATATATTATTTAAATCAAAATATAGCCATATACAAGGTAAACTTTATTGTCAGGTGTGTTTTACATTCGAGATTTGTTCCATGTTTCAATAATAAGGATATGCCAGACAAAATAAATTAAAAAAAACAGAACTGCAAAAAGTTATGGTAACTCGTCAGCGATAGAAACGTGACAAGCGTCGTCAACAGCGTGTATGCACCAATCATTGACACACACACAAACTGGAAACTAGAAAACAATCATACCTGAAAATAGGAGCTGATGCCACCCAAAACCAAATAAAATACAAAAGAATGTAAAGAATTAATACAAAACACATATAGAAAACTGATTATTATAAGGTATTAAAACATTGTGTGTATTATTCATAATAATTTTAAACTCATTTTGTGCTTTTAGGTGTATATGTATTTATGGCTATGAACAGGAAGGACAAAATTGCATTGCCATAAACCACTGCAGCAAACCCTCAACTCAATGCAGCTCACAGGTAATCTAATTCTAGCCACCTATCTCCATCATCCATTTCCTTTTGTTTGTCTATCAGTGCATAATACAATTTTTCAATTCAAGACAACTTGCCCAAAAAAATTGTGTTGCCTTCCACAAGTTAACTTAAAATTTCAAAAAATTATGTTTAACATATTTATTTAAAACCTATTTCTCACTCACATTACTCATTTGAGAAAAGATTTTGACCGAAATCAAACCATACATTAAAATAGACCTTGGCTTACGTTTGACAAATGTGGGGCCAATGCATGCATGGTGCAACAACAGAATTTTTCCCAATATTTTTTCCCTTAAGATGTCTACCACCCGGACTTAGTTTTCTGTAGCTACAACCCTATATGCCTATATATCATGTCACAAACACAATAATACTAATACTACTATACTATATATTCTGTAACTACTAATATTAAGTGTGATTTACAGCTTTATTGTATTAAGAAATCAATAAGTATGTGGTATGTTAATACATAATAATATTTCATATAACCAACAGAGCTGAACATTTCAAACTTCAATAATTAAATATTTTTATATTCTGCCTCTCATGCTGACTTTCAACAACATTATTTGCTACAGCAACTCTTCGTGGAAGGTATGAAATGATAGATAATCCCCAGGGAGAATTAATTCCATCTTCTTCTTCATCAATTCTTTTAATGAAATTTCCATCACGATTGAATAGCTGTAGTTTGTGATGACTTGATATAATAATGTTGTCATCCTCATCAACTACTACTCCACGTGGATCCGTCAGTTCACCATTTTTGACACCTTCTTTGACAAGGACTTTCATGAACCTTCCCCATTTATGGAACAGTTGTAACCTGCCGGAATCTAACACAAGGATATGCCCTTGGTTTGTAAGGGTCATATCACAGACTAAATTCATTTGACCTTTTTCGTAGCCTCTTGACCCTATCTTCTTGATCATCTTGCCACTATCAATGTCAAACATATACACATAATCAATACACCAATCAGCTACATAAATAAAATTTGATGCCTCATCCACATATGTACCTTGTGGAAACTTCAATACTCCCTGACCAATTGATTTGATCACCTGACCATGCATATTGCATATTCTGATACAAACATTATAGTCACTGAATGCTATGTTACCATTCTTCATTTTGTACATTCTGTAAACTCTTACAACTTTTGGTAGTGTAATCTTACCAATATATTCTCCTGATAGCTTAAACTTGTGTATTTCATTACTCACATTTGAAACAAGCAAGCAATCATCTTTACACCTAACTAAATCGCAAATAACTTTGTTTATTTGAATTGTATTTACTAGTCCTTCCTTCTGTACTCTGATTGTCAATGGTGATTGCTTGATTGGTTCACCATCAGCACTCACATCTAGTTTATAAATACACAGACTTGTGCATTTGCCAAGTGTCACAAAATAGTCTCCTTTTTCATCTTTTTGAACTCTGGTGATGTTGGTTTCTCCTGCAGGCTGTGTCCATGTTGCCTTCAGTTGATTTGCATGTATTTTACATTCATCAGTTTTAATTATTTTGACAATTGTCTGACCTGGGGTCACAAATTCTTCTCCTTTTAAAGTTAAACAGTCTGCAGCCCTCATGTGTGATACATACCCAATATCACATTGCAATGAAGTAATTTGCTGTTTGTTTTTGAAGAATTTAATTTGTCCATTGTCATTTGGCTTTGCTTTTGACAATACATTAGTTCTTACTTTCAGTGCTGTAATTACTGTTTCACTTGATTGCATTGCTGTAGCCTCATCACACTTCAATAACTGATTAAGAAAACTCAGTTTTGTATTTATGTCAAATATTGTTGTTTTCAATTCTTCAATTTGTACATCTAACACCTTCTTTTTCCTTTTATATATTGTCTCTACTTCATTTTTTATTTGATCACCATTTTCTTTCATTTTCTTTACCATTACTTGCACATGATTATCAATATCTCTTAAACATGAATTTTTATTTTGTTCCAAATCTGTAGCAATCTGAATAACTGCTTTGAGGCCATCTTGTAATTTGTTTTTGCATTCATTGGCAGCTTCCTCCAATGTTGCTGAAGTTTCTTTAAATGTTTGAAATGCTTTAGAAATGCTGATTGGTTTGTGATTTCCTTCCCCTACACTGTGGTCAGTAATTGCACAATGCATGCATATTGGAACATTGCATATGCAGCAGAAAAATTTAAAAGGCTCATTGTGAAGTGAACACAGCGGAGGATGTAACGATGCAATCTGTAAAGGTGTCATTGATTGTACTTCCTCCACTGAATGTAGCTTGTGTTTTGCAGACATTGGCAATATTTTATGATGGTCACTACAAGTATAGCACAAGCAGTGTCTACATTCCTGGCAGTAGTATTTTGCCTGTCGTTTTCCACAGATACATTTCATCTGATTTATTTCTGAAAATTGTTCAATAGTTTCTAATAAGTTATTCGAAATGGTATTTGGTGAAAGCTTCTGAAGCCCGCCCTCTGGAAGAGGATATGATTTTGAACAAGTTGGGCAGGTCAGCTTACCCTTCTCCTTCCTTACCCAATCTTCAAGACATGCCAAACAAAAAGTATGGAGGCAGTTGAGGGATTTAGGATTTTGAAGTCTCTTAAAGCATATAGTGCACTCTAAGATTTTCTCATCAACATTTTCCAGAAACTGATTCAGCTCACTGGTAGCCATCTTGAATTAACCCTGTGAATTAATAATTAAAAAATATCACTGCTCACTGTGGTACGGTTGACTTGCTAGTTATTACCTTTCAATATGAAATAGATAAACAAAAAGGAGTGTTTCAAAAACAGAGACTTTGAAACAGACACAAGACCCACTTGAAAAACAGATACTCACTGTACAAATGCAGAGACCCACAACAATTCAGAAAATATTGTTTTGTTTAATTAGTATTTGGGGTATGTAGATCAGTAGGACTTTAGTGGAGTAATTCCCCTCCCCATAATTCATAGTTTGGTTAGGATTGGAGCATGGGGGTCATTCGGATCTAGAGGGATAATGTCCCTACCCCAGATGCATAGATCGGTTAGAGCTGGAGTATGCAGATTATTTGGACCGTAGTGGGTCAGGAATTGATATTGTAGAAGTGTTGTTGTGTGGGACTATAAGGCATTTGCAAGCAAGTTAGAACAAGAAACATTGTGTATAGTGTATGCACCATGCACATTAATATCTCTGTAACTGGAAGCAGTTCTCACATCATGTGAGACATGCATAAAAGTCTCTCTCTCTCTCTCAGGTGTTACATGTTTTTTTTTTTTATTCCTATTGTAAACTGTTTATAGATATCAAAACAGAAGAGCCTTTGTCATTCCAAAACTCTTTAGCATATATGAAACTACATTTCTGAATGTCTACAAGACAAGTCATGTACAACCCTTCCCCCTCCCCGTCCATTAATTCATTACTAGTGATGTGTCCTAGCATTTTTTGTGCCGCACCTTTAGGCTGCTACGATAAAGAGGAAACAGTCATTAAGAAACTGTAGGTTTATTTGCTCTATCATTGTACGTACTTATACATTGACAATCTGATAAAACTAACTACTTGGCTAACTACATAGTCAAGTAGTACTAAAGTAGGGGCAAGCCTAGACTAAGTCGCATTGTCTCGAAAGGTATAGTGCTCTACTCTGAAGAAGGATAGTGTACATACTGTAATGTGCTCTTCGTCTGTTTCACAGAAACTGAGAGCAGTATGCCTAGCTAGTGTGGGTGGGGGAGGGGGGCTAGCAAGTCTAAAGCTGAAGTAAAAAAATCCGCTATGATGCAGTTTATCTGTAACTCGTCCAACCCAGCCAGCAGAATAATAAAAATAATGAAATATATTTTTAAAAATTGAATATAAATAAATAATAATAATATTATTATTAATAATAATATAACAACAATAGTGGTAACAACAAAGCTAAAGAAAGTATATATGGCCTAGGCCTACATCAAATCGTATATCACAATTTCTACATTTCGAATGTAGAGTACTATTTATTTCCATCCTCAGACTGCAATGTAAATAACTTCGTGGCTATTGTTACACCAGTTGTAAGCCAATTCTACCTGTAGGCTATTATTTTTTATGTTTATGTGTCATATCATAAAACAAATGCATTGAAAATGATATAGGTCATTCTTAAGAATACATTAATTTATTAAGTTTGGAAATACAAACCAGTCATAAGTGAAAGTCGTTTTTTTTTTTTTTTTTTGGGGAATATTTTTTGTTTTTTTTTTTTGGAAATATTTCTAGTTACATTATGTGAATTCACATAATGTACCAGCAATCCACAAATAGTGCCATTCCCATCAATAATAGCCTTCTATACAACATACTATTCTCGGATAATATTTTGACCCAGTTTCAAATATTGCTAATAATTAGCTTCATTACAGTTAACATGATTAATTTTTATAATTTAAAAACTAAAAATCAAGTAATTACCTTATGTTTCCTTGTGAGGTGTAATACTTGCACAAAAGATCAACAGTTGGTTTTTCCTGATTTTAAGCCATGTGACTTGGTATCGGGTGACCAATTTATTTTGTGTAATGAAGTGTTACTAATGTGTTGTCATGCAAATTGGTTTATAAATGGATATTTGATTCTTCTCTGGCAATTCACATGTAATGCTGAATATAACAATAGGACTGATAATAGAATGACAAAGAGAAGAATTCATAAGTGTGTATATATATATGTATATATATATATATATATATATATACTGTCTCTTATACACATCTAGATGTGGATAAGAGACAGTTGTACATACTTACACATTGAATTACACCTCACCTGGACAGGTAAGCACTCATTCATCAATGGGGAACTGCCACCAACATGCTACATGTTATTACACCTCACCTGGACAGGTAAGCACTCATTCATCAATGGGGAACTGCCACCAACATGCTACATGTTATTACACCTCACCTGGACAGGTAAGCACTCATTCATCAATGGGGAACTGCCACCAACATGCTACATGTTATTACACCTCACCTGGACAGGTAAGCACTCATTCATCAATGGGGAACTGCCACCAACATGCTACATGTTATTACACCTCACCTGGACAGGTAAGCACTCATTCATCAATGGGTAACTGCCACCAACATGCTACATGTTATTACACCTCACCTGGACAGGTAAGCACTCATCCATCAATGGGGAACTGCCACCAACATGCTACATGTTATTACACCTCACCTGGACAGGTAGTGCTCTTCATTAATGGATAATTGCCACCAACATGAAAATGATGACATCACAACTGACTTCAAAGATTATTATTACTTCAAACCTTATTATCACTATTGTTTTTATTATTTTGTTATTGAACTTTATTTTCAACCAAATAATTGTAACTAATGTAAAGTTTGTATCCAACCAATGCTGTATTCCAAATTTTATAATAATAATTATAATTAATATTGTTTTGTAAATACTCTATAATTGTTATTGTTTCAGAATACTTGTGCATGTAATGAAGGATATATTGGAGATGGATATGATTGTTCACTTACAAATTCCTGCACTGGTGTCTGTCATCCACAGGTATATATTACAAATTTGTGAGGGTGGGAGTTGGTAAGTGAGGGTGGGAGTTGGTAAGTCAGGGTGGGAGATGATAGGTGGGAGTGGAGATGATGTGGGATGGGAGATGATAGGTGATAGTGGAAAGTGAGATATGATCGGTGGACCTATCCCAATGTATACATTACACAATGTAAAAACATGGTCTCTTTTTTGTAATAATCACTGCAAGATCTATTTTAAAAATTATTTTCATGATTTCTAATTATTTATGTAGGCTACATGTGAAGACATAGAGGGTGTGCCACATTGCATTTGTGGAAATGGTTACCATGGAGATGGAATCGTCTGCTACAGCAACATTGCTATTGTGAGTTGTAATTTAAATGAACTAATCATGCAACTAATATTTTAAATGTAAATATTTTGAGCTATATTTACAGGTATCTTCTTTCTTATTTTTAAAAAAAAATTTCATGCCACTGTACAGATTTAAATTTTTGTGTAGTAAGGGTCATCATTTTTATATAGGCCTATCCCCATTCCTGAAAAAAAAGTCAGTCATAAATTACAGAAAGAAAAGCACATCATCTAGGCCTAGGCCTAGAGTTTTTTATTCAGCAGCCTGATATCTGCAAGCCATTGCATTAATCTCTGTAATAACTATGACGCTGTGCTAGAAGAAGAAATGTTTGATCAATCTGAGTGCATTGGCTAAACAGTGGCTAGCGCAGACCAGTCGAATATGTAGAGAGGCTGACGTAGGATCTAAATCATTAGCCTTTTTTTTTTCCATTTATTATTTTTGCTCAGTTTATTCCTGTATACTGTACAAGTGTCTCTACAATGCAGTGATCAGTCTTCATTTGTGTACATTGAATGAATCATTTGTTAAAGAGACAAAATCAATGGCTCATTTAGTTTTGTGTTTGTAGTAATATATTTTAATTAAAAAAATTATGATCAAACAGCACTTATATTGTGCCATCTATCTAACATGCTATTCCGAGGCGCAGTGACTCTAGCCCAAAAAATGGATTTATTTTCATATTATTTTCACAGTTTCAGGTGTTTGAGTGATTTTCATTAATTTATATGTTTATTTTTTAGGAGATAGCTAGTAATTCAATACTGATCAATTTCAATAACTTACTAATGGTAAGTCTAAAACAATTATTCATTTGGTTACTGACACAGACTATTGTTTCCATAACTGACACAGACCAGTTCTTTGATTACTGACACAGACCAGTGCATTGATTACCGTCATAGATAAGTTCTTTAACCCTCTAGATACCGTCTTCGACTGTAGTCGAAATTGACCTCAAACCGAGAATTCCCATTTTCGACTGCAATCAAAATTTTGTGACTAAAAAATAGGTGGTTTTTAAATCGCTCTTCTGTTTTTATTTTAGCTCCAATACGTCAGAAATTTTGAACACGCATGCGTGAAGCTTTTGTCTTTCGAAATCTGTGAAGAACTCACATGCGCTTATATAAAAATTTTTAGAAATATCAATTTGAAATCGTTATTAATTTCAAAAATTTTTTGAAATGGCCGCACAGGATGTGTACACAGCTGAGCAAGCGATTGACCTGATTTTTGATTCAGACAGCGATGAAGGTGAATTTTTAGATGTGCGAGACTTAGACGTGCCTGTTAGCGATGATGACGGTGGGGCTTCAAGCAGTTCTGACGGCGGAGATGTTTTTGATGAAGATGAGCCTAGGCCTAGAATTTTTAGGGTAGTCGACGCTTTTGAATGGAAAGATCGCGCTTATAGTTATGGATGGTTGGGTAAATAATTATATAACTGTGTGGAATAGGAATGTTTTATATTTGTTTTTATTTTTTTTTTGGCTATTATTTTTTTTTTTTTTTTCGGTTTTTGCTGACGATTTATATGTAGCATTTTTCTGTCATTTCTATTATATTATATATATATATTATATCATATTATATTATGAAAAAAAATTCCCAAAAATACAAATTATACATCAAATGAAAGCTTATTCTATAAGCTTTCTTTGTTTTTAGAAACATTTTTCTGTATTATTTACAAAAAGTTCCCAAAAATCCACCAGAACGACGTATACTCAAAAAACGCAAAAAACCTTGTTACACTGCAAAAGAATCCAGTATTCAAGGGTTTGCACTATAAAAGAATACGGTATCCAGAGGGTTAATTAGTGACATAGACTATTGTTTTCATAACTTGCATAGACTATTGTTTTCATAACCGACATTGACCAGTTCTTTGATTACTGACACAGACCAGTGCTTTGATTACTGTCAGACCAGTTCTTTAATTACTGAAACAGACTAGTGTTATGATTACTGACATAGACTATTGTTATCATAACTGACATAGACCAGTTCTTTGATGACTGACGCAGACCAGTTCTTTGATTACTGACATAGAACAGTGCTTTGCATACTATCATAGACCAGTTCTTCGATTACTGACATACAGTGTTGCTTTGATAGAAAACCTAGGTCACTATTCCTTTTTAGGTTTTTAGGGTGGCTTACAGTTACAGTATGGCTTTCTGATAGAGTACTGGGTCGCTATTAGAAAGCATAAATTATACATTTTCATGCACTGCTTTTATACCTCTTTATGCTTAGTTTTAATAACACTTTTTACAGATTATCGGTGTCAGGTCTGTAAAAACATGTGGGTTTTAAGCCGAATGTGGTTGGTTGCAGATGTAGGGTTTGGTGCAGTCCGCAATAAAATTGCCATCCGGCCACACTTTGCCCACCTGTGCTACAAAGTGAAAATGTTTATGTGGCTGTGTATGTTTTGAGATTTCTTGGGTCATTACTAAAGAATAAATTTTAAGGTGGGTTATTATTAGAGAGGTG